CCTGACTCGCGGGACACCGGGCCCAATGGGAACCAAAATTGGTTCCCATTGGGTCCGATGGGTCCCGCGAGGCAGGGTTTCGCACCCAAATGGATCTCGAATTAGGATCGGATGTGGGTGCTCACTCGCACGACTGAAAACAATAGAAACATACAACCCTGCTGAGCCAGGTGACTATTTTGGTCGAAAGCCCGAAGTTTTGAGAGTGGCTTTAACACAGGACCCGTGGTCCGTCTCCGAAGCACCACAGGTCTCCTTGGCTCTGTATCCTACGGCAATATCCACCATATGGTTTCCAAGAAGAACATTGTAATGTTGGTAGGCGGCACCTTTACAGCAACGCTAGCACTGGCTGACTTGCCGTCCGGTGGTGCAGTGGAAAGAGAGGGCGCCTCGCACATGGGCAGTGACGGGATCGCCTTCGTTCCCCGGTTCATTTTTGCTTATCAACAATCACATATTACATATCAGTCTGGGTTCTCTTGTTTGATGATTTGTCTAACCTTCACAGTTCGAAGTACGTTTCAGCCGTAAATGGGCACCCATGTAAAACCAGGTCCTAAGTAGGGTCGAAACGCCATGGAGCATAAACGGGGTAGCCATTGTACATATTGCCCCTGGATAGGACCGCTACCTGCCGACACTTTGATCATCAAAGATATTTCCGTGACGAGAAGTGCTTGACTAGCTGAAGGCCCGTGACGCACCAAGTCCACCACAACACCGAAACCCTATCAAGCGTCTGGTTGATAGGATGGGAATGCCAGTCTCTTCTAGCGCCGTGTTGGTCGACTGGGATACGCAAACCTCTCCTCAATCGGTACTGATTCAATGACTACAAGACCACCACCGTTTTTTAGCGAAACAGCGAGTGGAGGTGGAAAATCGATCAACCAGGCCTTAGCATTGAAGGTTTTCTGATCGAACTGTTGGTCACTGTGATACTCGGATAATTGGGCTCCACAAACATCTCACGCCACCCTGCACATGCTCCTTGGCCCTTCAACTCTACCAAGGACATCCCATCCAACTCTTGACTGATGAGTCGTGGTGCACCATCAGTTCGGCACCCACGATGCACCCTGATCGTTGACCAACGTCAATAACTGATGAGTGGGACCCTGCCCCTGGTTTCTTTTCCGGGTTGTCGATCACCGCATATCACCCTCACTAAGACACCTGGGAAAACCATACTGCTCCTGCTTCTGCTTCCCCTGGTTAGAAAGATCTAGGAAGGAGGAATGGCCGCTTGAAAATGTGATGTGCACCCAAGATCATAAATCGAATGGATTATCTCGGATTTGGATCGAATATGGGTGCCCCTCATGAGACGGCAATGAGATCCTGGGCTTAAACTCTTGCCGGACCAGGTGTGAGCTCCGCTCACCCTTGATTCCACCAGCTTAAATTTCGCGGGATCCGTGATCGGCCTACAGCGCACCACTCGTCTCATCGACACAGTATCTCTTATGAACCGAGTTTTTTGAGTGTTTATTTGCGACGGATCATGGTGATAAAATATGGCTTCAAAAGCAGACAGGAATATCGCATGAAGCCGAGATGGCAAAGCAATCACTGGCTCATGAGAACCATCAGGCACATGGGTTCATTCAGCCGCTCAAAACCTCGACATGTGTCGATGCAAGTAGTCGAATGCGAAGTGGGGCTGACCGTAAGCGTGCGGTGCTGGGATCGGATCCAGCCTTTACGCCTCTTTTGACACGATTGTGAATTGCGCCGATTCAGTCTGAAAATCCTCATGCAGGACACATACCGAGTTACTTCCTTGTCACAGTTGCAAAAAACACCATAGCAATCAAATCGATATCGATTGCATGACAAAAATGATAAAGATTTTGGCGGCGAAATGGCCATGTGCGCGAAAACCGACTTTTAGCCAAAAAGGATCCCATGAGAGGCATTGAGTGCCACAGGGGCATCTGATGGACGGCGGAAACCACAGTTCTGACTTTATGCACACCGTCCTGTTTCATCCGACCGGCAGCACACCGGAAAGCTCACTTCACTCATGCCGCTGTGCCTCTCCGCGCTCCCGCTTCAAGTCAGCCAGCGAAGGACGTTGGTGATCGCGTATGAGGTGTGGCGCGATAAACCCTCACATGCAAACTTTGAGCACACAACCTTTTCACCTGACCCGATTCAGAGCTGAAACGTATCCAGAGCTGGTAATGAGCGGTAAATCTTTTTATAGGAGAACCCAGACAATTAGATGATTGTTGTCAAGCAAAAGTGTGCGCTGGTCGGAAACGATACCACCCCTTGGCAAACGAGGGTCTTCCTCCATACCACTGCTCCATTAGAACCCTGGTCAATGGCCGCTTGCAGCATATCACAATCCAAATCGTTCTCAATAACTTTGTACAGTTTGATATCGTCGGCATACATGGAACACGATACTTGATATCTGGCCAAGCCACTGGGG